ATTAATGAACAACTTTTGTTATTAACTTTTCATTTAAATTTTATCATAGGAGATGGCTGAAATGATGTTCAATTTAGGACTGTTTTTAAAATTAGCAAGATTTTATCACAGGGATGAACTTAGAACCGAAACCGACCCAACCCGACTCAAACCGACCAGGTCAGTTTTGCTTAACATTGGGTCGGTTTCGGTTTCTATGTCAGGTAACCCGACCAGGTCGGGTCGATTGAAAAAATCACAGTAAACCGACCCAACTTGACCCGTAAACAGCCCTAACCTTAACTTTATCAATCAATCATAATATATTCAATCATAATATTCATAACCCTTCTTCAGTTCTTTCACCTTATAATTAATTGTATTTTTTATCCCATTCTCCTATATAAGATTAATCAGAATCTCTAATGAGAAGTTTGGATAGGATTTGGTGGATAAGATATTCCTTATAATCAATTTAACATTTATTTTCTTTGTTTGGGACCTGTGGGTTATATATTTATAAGAGAATGGGACTGGATAGGATTTGGTCATAGGGATAAGGGAAAGGGGACAATGGAAAAAAGGGAAACAAGAAAAGAAAAGGCTTGGTTTTAGAGAGGCTCATGCCATGAATAAAGCACTACTTTCTCTCCAAATCTGGAGATTGTTGAGAGAAGATCAAAGCATGTGGGGTAACATCATCAAGGTGAAGTATGTGAAAAAGAAAATTTTCTTTGAATGTAGACCTTAAGAATTATCAATCAACTTGGTGGAGAAATGTACAAGTTTGATGGACATGTGCATTTTCAATTTCCTAAGTTGATCACTAAACATTCCATTTGACTCTTAAATTGCATTTAAGAATTGTTTCATTACAAGATCTAATTATGACATTACTCACAGGAACAGCAGCATGCTTTGCTTCTTTGGATGTTCCCAAAGTACTGTTTTCTACATTTATCAATTAGGTAGTTTTCCAGCTTATATGGTTTTTGATGCTGCTCGGCTCGTCAGGCAAAGAGAGAGATGAAAATTCACCCAAGGATCATAGTTGTGGGGTCACCTGTGGTGACAAAAAGTTGTCAGAGGTCCTGGGGTGGTTTCTCAAGGGTAGAGACTCCAATGATCAAGTTAGTACAGTGCTAGAGATGGGTCAAGTGGAGGAGCTTGGTAAGTAACCAAAGGTCGAAGTGTGCCAAGGTGACTAGAAAATAAGAGAGTGGAGAGTATTTGGTATGTGTAGAGAGTCATACCTTCGAGAGGCTCGCCTATTTATAAGGGAGGAAAGCCATTAGATGTGAGAGTGATGGATCCAATAACAACTCCCCGGGTTGGCCCACTTTCTCCACCTGTAATGTGAGTTCACATCAGCCCCCCACAATGTCCCACAGCACATCCCCACGTGTATTGGAAATATCTCTCGATGATAATACTAGAAATGATGATGTCATCATCGAGAGATGTTCCCAATACACGGTGGGGATGTGCTGTGGGAAATTGTGGGGGGGCTGATTCGATCTCCTGTAATTTAACACTTACATCATGCCCACGTGGTTGGCTGTTGGCCCACGTTAAGTGTGTTGGCAATGATGATCCAATCAGATTGGCCTACATGTACTGTTATGACTCAACACATTACATTGCACCCAGGTTATTTAGCGAAGTTATCAAATTGTCCTCCAAAATGATGTGAATTGACCAGACTGCTCTCCAAGGTGATAGACTTGGCGATTTCCCATTGGCGTAGGTCATTCAACCGAAGTGTTTCATAATTTTATTTTATTTTTGATGGTTTGAATTGTGTATGGTTAATCAATTAGAATCATGTAGAATAATGTACACCTATGTTCTTCAAAATTTGCGTACTGGTTAGTTGGCAAGGCCTCTTGCTGGTTGTAGCAAAGGTTTGGGATCAAGTCGTGCATGCACCAGGGTTTGGGGGGTTATGGGTTGGGGAATCAGGGATGGGCTACCCCCTGTTGTGTAGCCCCTTGAGTACGGGTGTCAATGGATTGGTTTTGGATTGGACCCCATCCAGCCTAAAATTAATTTGGACGGGTTGGATGGACAAACAATACATTGGATTGGATCAATCCAGTTCAAAATATTTATCAGATTGGATTGGACCTGGTCCATCCATAACAAATTTATATTGGATTGGGTTGGATTAAGCCCACCATTAATATAAAATAAGAATATATATATATATGTCAATGGACCAGATTTGGGTTAAAACCAATCTAAATTAAAATGAATTTGAATAGATTGGACGGTCCAGACATTGAATTGGACTGGTCCAAATTGGTCCAAAACATTCATTGGATTGGATTGGACCTGATCCATTTATAAAGGACTCACATTAGACTGGATCGGTTTGGACCAAATGCAGTCCAATTGACACCCCTACCCTTGAGAATCAATACCTTTCGATCTTTCTTTGGATCGGGCCCTTTCCTTTGAAGATATAAGTTTTGTTATTATAGGAAGCTAATTATTAATTAGGAGTAACTTGTCAAGCAGTCAACATTCAACAGATACTTCTATTTAGTTTGAAGTGAAAAACAAAAAGAACGACAACTGTGTACTGGTGGTGTTGGATTCGCAACTCCAATGGCCAATTTTGTTTTGGACGGGCATTTAAAATTCGTTAAGGCTCTCCTTTGGAAATAGAAGCCAGGGCAGCCCTGGGCCCTGGCCGCTATTTGGATCTGGGTGTCTCTTCAGTCTTTTCTAGAAGGTGCTTCTCAAACTGTCATTTCAAATTTGTTGGAAGTTGATTTTATCCCTCCATGGAGAATCAGGACCGTTGTTACTGATTGCAAACTCTTCGCCTCTCGTACCTGTTGGCCAAGCATGCTCTTACCTTGAATCATGTTTACTTGGTCTCCTCCCCTCCCCCTCTTTTTTGCTTCAAACTTTATTAGACTATTGTCCAAGCAGATTTGATAATGAATTTGGTCTGCTGGAAGGCCTTTAAAGTGAAGTTGCAACCCTTTTTCATTGGTATTTATGTTACTTTATAATATGGTACAATGACCCAACTACCCCTGCTGCCTATACATCATAATGATAGAAACATGCTATAACAAAAAAAGAAAAAAAAAACAGTAACGGAACAATAATGAAATAAACAAAAAATTACTGGTATAAACTAGAAACTATATTTCAATGAATTCGGATTTAGTTCTCACAAGATCATCCTCACACCTGGAGAATATCTCCCATGAATAAACACATGTAAAGGCTGTGAGTAGACCTGTTCATGGACTGGGCTGGGATTTGGCTTTTGCCAAAATTTGAATAGTGTGACCCAAAGCCCAAGCCTAATATAATGTAAAATCAGGCCCGAAACCCAGTCTGTGAACAGTCCTACGGTCTACCCGTGAGGACAGTGTGAGGAGTTCTTGTTCAATAAGTTTTAAGTTGCGGTCCATATAACTTAAATGCAGTCAATGTGTATACAAACTAGGGTCAATGGAATAGATTTTATGAATCCCATGATCTCTACTTTATTTTATCAGGGGTCTGACCGGTTCAGGGGGTGGAGGAGCCCTAAACTGGTCCCCCTGAACCGGTTTCAAAAAAAATAAAAAAAGTAAAAAAAAACGGTATCGATTCACCCAATATGGGCGTATTAGGCATATCGAAATTTTAAACCTTGCTTGAATCTCCTTACTATCTCTATAAGGAATGATATATATTAACTTTAGGTTCTATCAGTTTTCTTATCTCATCATTCTCATGGTAATTGATGCATGATGATGTGATGCCATGGTATAACCTTGTACTTGATGTATTCAAAAGAGGGCTTGATTTGGAGTGTTTTCAAATGGTGACAAAATAATCACCCCGGTCATAAAACCATGGTTTTTAAAACTGGATTGAACTGGACGGTCGGACCGGAAAAACCAAGAACCAGTCAGGTGACCGGTTCCGTTTTTTCCCAAAACTGGATTTTTGCCAAAAATCATTGATTTTGGTCAGTAAACCGCTGATCCGGGTGATTAACCGTTCGAACTATTAGAACAATCGGACCGTTTGACCTAAAAACCGTACCCTTGACTGATTCATTCTTCAAATCGATTTTAAAAACCATGAAACAGGAATACACGTTAGGGATGTGGTCATTATACAGCTGATATAGAATAAAAGAAATTACCTCATCTAAAGAGGAAGAAATCCCGTTGCATGTGATTCAAAGACTAAACTCCTTTCCCAATAATCTTAATGAAACTCGGCAAGAATCAAATGACCAAGGAATACAACTGTTAAGGCTGCATTTGGTATTTTTTTTTTTAAAGACTTATCTTGCAATTAAAAACTCAATACTCATAATGACATTTTAAGTGCAAAAAGGAGATGTTTGAAATGTGAATAAGTCAATGTTTAAAATGAAAATACAATTCACGTGATGTATTGAATTTATTGCAAACACAGATGTTTTAACATTTCACTGGAGGTTGCTGAGGTGTTCTAAGACCACGGTCACAAATAATGCAATCTTGTTCAATTGCTCACCCTTGCGACAATGGGGGGAGGAGGGTTTGGAGTTTGAGCCTTCTTTGGGGAGGCATGCCCCCTGTTGTGTAGCCCACTCAAATAAGTCTGGATCTCCTGTCCACAAGAACTCTGCCCAAATCTATCCACATAACATCGCAGCTACACATGAGAAACATCTCATTCTCCTACATAATGTTATAGACTGGGAAATGCTCCCAATGCACGGAGGTAGTGTATTGTGGGTAGACGTGAGAGAGTTCTTGTGGGCAGGAAATCCGGAGTACACTCAATTCGATTGCTCTCCTTCCCACTTTCTGGTTCTGGATCGGTGACAATAACCAATCACATAATCCTTTTATACCAGGCCACCTCAATGAGTTCATTGAAAATATTTCCATTGGAATCGAATGTTGTCATGTTAGATATATACCATGTGAGGTTTTGACTTTATAAATACGTCTTTTCCAGCAGCTAGCGATAGCCTGTAAAATTACTAACACCAACAAATACTTTGGTAAGAATAACAACACAACCTTGAAAACTCTGATCTTGATCTGATTACAAGAATATTCACAACCTTGAAGCAATAATAATAATAACTGCAAATTACAAATATAAGAAGAAAATAAAGAAAACCCCGATAACATATACAAAAACCACACAAGCACTGTTTCTCAACGTAAACCTGCCAAAAGGTTAGCTGACTTTAACATTTCTTGCTACTTCTAAGTACAGGGACAACGGTCAAGTCAGAAGCAGGCCGACTTCATTCGATTTTCCAATTTTTTCCCTCTTCCAACTCACTGATCGCAGGATCATCGGCATGCTGGTTATATAATCTTAGAATCAATCATAAAACAAAATAAAAAGGAAAAAACAAGGGGAATGGAGGAACAAGGCCTATGCGGATTACTCCGTGATGCTCAGCCTCAGCACTGTTATTGGATGTTACGCATCAGCCCACTTCGTGATATGTTTCTGCACAGATCAATTGCTTATTCACACAAGGAAAAACCCCATAATTATGCATAAGAACAAGCAGAAAATTTTTAGAAGGCATTGTTCCACATTTAATTGTTCGTGTTTGTTCCATGACTGTTATGGTTACCAAGAATCCTGCACTTCACTTTCATCTAAATGCATTGAAAATTTATTAAATGAAAAACTGCATAAGGCAAAGTAACTTGTTAAATTTCTCAAATTGTTCTGTACCCATCCTAGTTTGGAAATTAGAATGGCACTTATCTGCAAATGATATCTGATAATACCTTGGGACCACCCATCTTAGTTATTTAAAGTTTATTTTAGAGTTTTAAGTCCTTATGTGAGTCTCCTAAAGTGTTTGTTAGGTTTGCCTTAGTTCTGAAGAAGTTTGGAGTTGTTTTGGCTCCACAGTTTTTAAGGCGCCAAGGCAAGGCTAGGCGATAGGGGGGTGCCTGGTTGCCTAGTCGCCTAGGCGATGGATTATTTTTTTTTATGTAGAAAACATAGATCCTATGGCAGTTCCCTAGGTACCATAACCATATTCCCTAAATAATTATTCATAATTTTCATAAGAAAAGTTAAGAGTTCATGTTAAAGTATAGAAAATCAACATATTCATGAGAAGAAAAAGAATGAAAAGAAAATTGAAAAAATATAGGGGCTGAACACTTATTTTTGTTATAGTAGTAGTAGTACTAGTAGAAAATGTGTTGATTAAACAAAATTTTATGTTCTTCCTTGTAGGTTCAGGTTTTAAAGTCTCTAGGGTTCAACACAGCATTTAGCAATGTTTGTATTGATTAAACCCTAGCAAATAAGAAAATAATAAAAAGAAATTAGTAATATAAACACACAAAATGAATATTTTAGTTTAATAGTGTCTATTTTATAATTATAATGTCAACAAAAAAAGAATAAAAAAAGTATTTATAATACATAGTACAAAACTGCTTGGCGATTAGGCAAAGTGAGCCTCAAAGGTGCCTTGTCGCCTAGGCATCACCTAGGCGCCCGCCTAGGCATCACCTTGACAGCTATGTTTGGCTCACTTTTCTCTGGTCCAATTTGGAGTCTATAAAAGAATATCCAAAGCCCTATGTTGAGTTTATAAATATAGTCATTGTAAAGATGGGAAATAATATAATAAGAAGTTTGTTTGATGTTACTTATGGGTAAAACTGTATCTTCTGATACAGCACGGTTAAACCCAAGCATGCAACTTGAGAATGGTTGGACGAGAAAGTCTATGATGCCAGAAAGACATGATATGTCACAAGCAGTAGACTGTGACTTCGTGACTGGTTTTTTGATTGTAGAAGATGGGCTAGTTACCATCGTCGGTGGGGGAAAAACCTCCTTCTTCTTCCCTATCTTGACCAAGTTGTAGATAGCGGGTTACTTCGAGGAAATCCAGAACTCCTAATTCAGATATTTTGAGATGCGCAAGTGTTTCATTTAACTTTCACTGGAAATTTAAAGGATTACAATAATGGTGAAAAAATTGGAGAGTGAACAACTACATGGAGAGGGTAACGGTTACGTGGAGAGTCATCTCCTTATTTACAACTAATAGAGCTAGTCTAAGGGAAATGCACGTAACAAACTAACAGCTGGCATAAAGACTATAACGACTAAATAAAGGTAACGTCTTCTCAAGTTGAACAGATTCCTTGCATGCGTCATGTGCAAGTGTCAACCCACTGGTTGGGCCAGTTAGACCTTTGGTGTCGTGACATGATACCAAAAAGGCTTTGACCAATCACAACCCCCCCCCCCCATGAATTTTGATGCAAAACTCACATGATCAGTTTACCACTTATGATGCCAGTTGATTGGTTGTAAGTTTTCCCAGTATCATGTCTTTCTGGCATCATAGTCAAACCCTGGTTGGACATTTGAATAAGATTTTAGAAGAGAGTAGGCTGAGCCACAGCCTTGAATCAGTCTTTGGCATCTCACCTTAGAGGAGTCAAACCAATCAGTTAGAGGAGTCACACCATCAAGGCACAAAGTGCTCCCAGGAAATGGTTCAATTCATTCACTGCTGAAAACAGATTAGTACATCCCATAATCTAGGCAAGCTTTCTTGATAGTGAAGAAAACTAGCATTAAAACTTAATTACTAATTCTCCTAGAAAACTGCAGCTTTAACTCCCCACACATTTCTTAATGACTAGGACTTCTCAATCTTCAACATTCATTGATTTTGCAATAAACCCCAACACCAAGGTTCATTGATTTGGCATTAATTCCTAATTCATGTGTCTGCAAACCATGGATCTGAATTTTGGGTATGGGTATAGGCTAGAGGCATGGATTTGGAAATACGTAATGGGTATGGATAATAGACATTGAGTTTAGGTATGGGTAAAGGTATATGGATGTGGTTTTCGATATAGGTGCAGACATATACATAGGTATGGACCTAAATATAGGTTAGGTCTTGGCTATAAGCTTGGGCTTTGGTATGTGTTTGAATTTCTTTTTTTTTTTTTTTTTTGAAAAAGGTAAAGTAATGTATTAGACAGCAAAAAGTATGAAGATATACAATCAGCCCGCTTCCCTGTACAATGAGAAACTGTACTAAAGGAAACCCCTGAAACTCAAAAAACACAGACAAAAAACTATCCAAAAATAATCTCTTTGTCGACAAAAGGACTTGTATGTCTAGATTTGAAAAGCGACTGAAAACAGCATGCCCATAATATTTTTAAGAACTTCCTCTTTTGAATTTTGGCGACCTTCAAAAATTCTCTGGTTCCTTTCACTCCAAACTGCCTGGAACACAGCTGCAGGAATAGTGTTCCAAGCAACTCTTCCAGCCTTGCTTAGACCCTTTAGCCACCAAGAAAACAGATAACTCTTCACACCAGATGGAAAACACACCTTCACCCCAAACAGGTCCAGAATTCTCCCCCCAAATCCAGTGGGTGTTTGAATTTCTTTTCTTCTTGCAACTGTAAACTTTCAGCCTATCAAATCCAACATCACTGCAAATGGTATCTCATAATCCCTTGGAAGCACCCATCTAAGGTATTTGAAGTTGTTTTTGGAGTTGAATCCTTATTTGAGTTGGAAGCACCTATCCAGTTGGGAGTTGTTTTGGCTCACTTTTCCCTGATCCAATTAGTAGTCTATAGAGGAAGATCCAAGCCCTTATGTTTGAGTTTATAAATATGGTAATTGTAAAAATGAGAATTAATAGAATAAGAAATTCGTTTTAAGTTACTTATAGATAAGATTGTGAACTTGCTTCTCTCCTTTTCTATCTCTAAATATGTAATTTATTCTCTTTCCCCTGATCCAATTAGTAGTCTATAGAGGAAGATCCAAGCCCTTATGTTTGAGTTTATAAATATGGTAATTGTAAAAATGAGAATTAATAGAATAAGAAGTTCGTTTTAAGTTACTTATAGATAAGATTGTGAACTTGCTTCTCTCCTTTTCTATCTCTAAATATGTAATTTATTCTCTTTCTCCTCATTCTCTATTCTACTTTAGATATTAAACTCTTTCACAATTTAAATTCTTAATTCCCATTCCTTAGCCACCACATACACCTCTGTAGAACCTTTCTCCTTCTCATCCAATATATGAAGCTTACATCCTGATGCTTTCCCCAAGACAATGCTCAAGAAAATTGCCTTGAAGCTCATGTTGGAAAGTAAAAAAGTAGATCCTTCATACTTTGACATGCCTATAATGTGTGTCTGTATTTACATCTATGTTTAAACATATTTAAAGCCATTTTGAGGCATATTACTTAAACGTATTTTTTTTTTTATAAATGAGTGGTACTTTATTAAGCATAGAATAGAAAAAGTGTACAATCAGCCTAAAAGGAGGCTCGAGATGTTACCCCCCATTAGAGTTAAACAATTAAGCATATTATTTAACATTTAGAGCCTATTAATAGTTATTAAATGATTTGTAAGAATGTGTATGCTTTCCCTGAAGCTCTAATATACTCAACTCTGTTTTTACAATTTTTTTTTTTGGATTATCAACAGTAAGAACTAAGAAACATATTGTACTCAATGTAAAATCAGATCAGCATGCTTCCAAAGTTAGACAGCAGGGATAGTATGATATCAAAACTACTTTTCTCTCTGTTTGTTGCCCTCTGGTTCCTATTTTCTTCTCCTAAACACAGAAGGGGAGGACATTGTAGAGATGCACATGGCCAGTGATTTTGTAGTGTCAGATGAGGAGAAAGGTCTTACTTTGACATCCAGTGGATAAAAAGGAAAATAAAATAAAGAATTGGAATTATAAAAGAAAGAAGTTTAGATTCATATAGAGGAGAAAGAAGAAAAAAAGAGAAAAATTGCACCTTTAGAGAGAGAGAGATCACATTAATACCAGGAGGTAGCTTCAAAAGAAACTTTTTATTTCACCACTTTTCTTGAGCTTCATAGAGCACTTGAATCAACTCTAAAATTCCAGTTACAATGAATATTTAAGGATTGGTATCTCCCTTACAGATTCCAAACTGAACAAGGAAACCAACCCAAAACAACCTTTAACTACTTCAAAACTAAGGCAACCCAACAGCTACACCAAGGGAACACTCAAATATAGACACTGGCTCCTAAAAACTTTAATAACCCATTACCAATCCTGCTAAAACTAAACAAACCATAAACAACTCCAAGGTAGACCTTAAAAAGTAAAAAATATTAAAATCCCGTAAAACACTGATACTCTATTGGTAAAATGATTATAATTTGCTCAAAACATGTTGGATTCACAAGATCTTTGTTGGATAAATTACTCGAGAACCTATCAAATGACACTAGAATTTCACAAAAGAAACAGTGGTGTGATTACACCCACCTTTCAAAATGCTAAAGAAAGAACTTCAACAAAATATTTTAAACTAATTTGACCCTCCAAGACAATTACCCCTATTTCTAAGACACCAACAAACTAGATAATAACTCTTAAAAAATTAAAAACTAAAATATAAGGGAAAAAAAATCACCCAGGTCTTTAAAATTATCACTGGTTTAAAAATAACTAGAAACTTGATTTCATCTACAGTTCTTTTTTTTTCTTTGACAAGTGATTTCTTCTACTGTTTCTTTCCTTGCTTCCATGCTTGCACCATCCATCTACATACTTCCAGTTTTGCAAGGGTTAAAGTTGGTTTGTAATTGAGGCTTGAATTATTTAATTATTTAAAGTAATTGTAGTATACCGACTGGATGACTATCAGCTGCTTCAGAAAAGTCTCTGGCACCAAAACAGAGAATCTAAGCATTGTCTTCAATATTCAACAGCTAGTTCAGGTAATTACTCAGATCAGTCAATTCACTCGTTGACTCGCTAGAAAGGTAAGGTATAGAAAGATCTGAACTTGTGTCGAGGGCTCCACAGCTAGAGGTGGTAATTGTAATTTTATTGATGACATGATGTTTATATTCATCGTTAATCAGCTAGAAGCTATGAATTTGTTCCTTTCATTCAATGATACAATTTAATAAAGGGTTCTACAGTATCTATTATGAACAAAACTCTTTTTTATCCATGTAATGCTTAAACATAATGACAACCATGCGTTTTTTGCTATTATCTTGTAAAGCAATAAAAAAAACATCTATTCAAATTTCATTAAAAATATGAAAGAGGGCCCTCTCCAGTCTATCAGTCCCTTTCTCTGTGTTGGCAGTTTCCATTTAGGTAGGATTTTATTTTTTTGATTATGTCACAGGTAGAACTGTGTCCAGATGGACAAACCAGTGAACTATCACCTGGAAAGGAAAGTAGGTCCCCCACTAGTCTAGTTTTTAAAAACACTGTTTCAGGAGGTGTGAGTTTGTCATGATTCCAGGAGAAGGTTGGGAACATACACTGGATCTGTGTTAAGCATTTACATTTGTCTATGTATACAAATGCAAACAAGCACATATATAATCAAACCAAATGCAAGCCAACTAAATACTACTGTAACCCTTTTGAAATTCAACAAAGTGCATGCTAGTTGATTAACAGGACAGATGATGGGTTACGTGGTATTTGTAACAACTTCCCAGATTTCAACCTTTCTCTAAACTATCTTGTCGTATTACCTCAGGGTTCAACCATTTTGCAACAAGCACTTGTGACACCATTCCTCTAATATAATTTTTGTAGTACAAAATGACAGGAAAATGATACAGAACATGATTAGCAAAATATTTCAGGAAAAACAAAGTAACCAGGTCAACTGATCAATAAAGCATATAGGAAATATGGAAGTCAAAAATAACATGATGTTTTGGACTCGTTCCAACAACAATCATTTGAAAAACAAAAATTCAATATATCTTACAATTTGAACAACAAAATCCAGACATAAGACATGTAGAAACTAGAAATATCAAATGGATGGATCACATAAATTGTGTGAAAATCAATCATTAAAAGAAAGCCATTAAAATGAAACATTTTACTAAAGTTGCTATCTCAATATGAATTAGGCATAGGGGCATACCATAGAAAAAATGGTTACCACAGTAAGATAGCTGATAAAAAAAAGCAACGATGGGATAGAAGACTTTACTCTAAATACCTTCCAGGAAGCAGTTGAGAACTATTTACAGGACCCTTGGAACTACCAAGTCGCTTAGCCCTATTATCGTGATCTTTTTCAATACGCATCGCAGCTACCTCCTTCTCCATGGCAGCTACTTCCCTTCTCATCTTCTTGGCCTCAACCTCCATTGCTTTGGTCAATGTGTCTACCTTCTTTGCTAACATCTGCACCACAAGCAGTTGCAACCTACAATTAGCATGTGAGTTGAGAGAGAGAGAAAGAGAGAGAGCATTCTATGCCAGACAAAAGACAATAATGGCATTTTCTTTGAGAATAGATAACCGAATGTATATATCACATATGAAGAACAAAAGAAGGTATAAATGAGGACAGAAAGTAAAAGAATATTGACCTCAATTGCATCATCCTTGTCTTTAAGGCTTTGATCTTTTTCATGGCAGGCTTTCCTCAAAGAAATGACCTCTTTTTGTAGCATGTCATATAATAATCCAGAGACAGAATCTTCTGTATCAACAGTTGGGAACTCATTGGGTTTTTCATCTGGATTCCCTTTCCAATCACGGACTGTCTCACTGTCTCTGGTTGTTCTTCCATCAGAAGATTTGCTAGGTTCATTGAGCTTTTCAGCTGCATTCCCTTTCCAATAACGGACTGTCTCACTATCTCTGGTTGTTCCATCAGAAGATTTACTAAGTGAAAAATTTGAACCAGTTCCATTTGAGAGAAGTCTGCCCCTGTCTAGTGACCTTGTCCCTCCATCAAATGATTTTGAAGTTCCTTTGGCATGCTTCAATATTGCAGTGGTACCAGAAGAAATAGAAGACCTCAACTGAGAGGATGCTGTTCTCTTGGATAAAAAGCCATTGGAGGGCAATTTTAAGATATTATCAGCTCCACCCAAGGATTGGCGCCGTGAAGGTCCATTGCTTGAACCTCTCCCTTCTGAACTAGGGCGACTACCTGCATTTGAGGATGCTCTCAAGCTCTCCTCTAGTACTCTGAGGCGCAATTGATATTTTTCCTGCACAGTACAAGAAAGATACACCTCAAAATTTTTGTCAAGACCAGTTGCAAAAAAGACTACTGGCGAGCAAAAGGCAACTATGTCTGCATGACAAAACTATTACTTTCAACTGTGCTTCAGATTTTGCAGTTCTCTCAGCAATGGCAAGTTTATCTCGAAGTTGTTGCATTTCCCCCTGTAACAATAGTTTTTACATACAGAAAAAGGTGTCAAAAACAAAGAAAACCACAAACAAGTTAGTGAAGGACGGAAAGAACAATGAACATTGAACATGGAAAAAAGATAAATGAATCAAAACATTAGTATATGACACATACTTGCAGGAATCTCCGATCTTCAAGCCATTGTTTTACAGGCATCACCTTGTCATTGGAATCTTTCCATTCATTTGCTACCACAACTGCCACCCTATTTGCTGTGACCTTTGCACGGGCCAGTTCCCTGTCCAGGGTTTTTCTCTCCTCCTGTACAACACAAAAACAATCTACTCATAATTGAAGGTACTTCACAGACCACAGATGTAAATATATTTCACTCTATAGTAAATCTGAACACTTCACATTCAAATTGAAAACAAGCACATTACGTTCATCTCCTGAACTTTCCGTTGGTAATCCCTCACAGCATTTGCTGCTGCACCACCAGCAAGAACAGCTTCCTCTAGCTCCCTTACAGTTTGGCTGAGCTTTTCAACCTCTGCAACCTTTTGGCGATGCAGTTTGTCCAAGATCTTATTTTCCTCCTAACATATACCAGAAATGCACTTAAATTACATGATGAGCATTAATTTAAATTGACAAAAAAACTAAAAACGGTTTTGAAGAACACATGACAAATATCATTCCTCATACCTGACAGATTTCAATCTGTTTCATTAACTCTTGATTCTTGTTTTGGAGATCATCAACCATAGAGGCCTTAGCCAAGGCAACCTGAACAGTTCTCTCAGCTTCAAGTAAAGCTGCTTCTTTGGATTTCGTAAGGCGATCTAATGCCTTGTTATCATCCTGCAGCTTAGAAATCTGCAAAATATTATGTATTAGGAGCATCGTTTCCATAATGAAATTGCACCGCATGTCAAACACAAGGACAAAATACCTCCTGCCGAGCAAGCTTGAGCTCTGCCTCCAGTGGTGCAAGAATGGCTTCAATTGGTGGCATGTCATCATCTTTTTGAGCAGCATGAACCCTTCGAAGGGTCGCTTCTGCTGCAAATTGAGCAGCCATAGATGCCTTCTTTTCATCATTGATTTTCTTAATTTCAAGATTCTGCATAGGGATTTTTACCAAATATCAAAGAAAGTGTACAATAATAATAATAATAATAATAATAATAAATACAAGATTTTAAATGCAATACCTTGCTTTCTAGAAGAGATTCAGTTAGTTTGAGCTTCTCTTCCACTTTCGACAATTCTTCAGTGAGCTAAGAATTTACAGCAAAAAATGGCAACAAAAAGTCATTACACAATTTCACATGTTGAAATCACCAAGAATTAAATGAATATACAAAAGGGATTGCAAAATTATACTTGGAAGAAGACTCAAATTCTAGGCAATGACAAATCAAAGCACTTTAATGGTTTTTGGCATGAATAACCAACAAAACATGGAAAACAAAGCCAGTAAACATTCTTACAACACACTGAGGTTGCCCAAGAAAAACTGCTACCAAATTTAAAAGAATGTCCAGATTCTAGAGAACTACATTTCAATGACCTCTCAAAAGATTGACCACTGACAACCAGGAGTTCCTCTTTTTTCTTTTTCTTTTTTTTTTTTTTTTTTTGCTGAAAAAGGCAGGCAATTGAATTAAAGGTAAAAAACCGTGGAAAATGACAGTTGATTGATTGATTCAGTAGAAACAATACAAGTATAGATCGACTAAAGGAAAATGTAAGGAAGATTTTATCCTAAATCTCAGTTTGTTTCTGGGTAAAATAGGCAGAAAAATTCCAATGTCTAAAATTTTTTATTCTATCTCATTTTCCACCTTGTTGACAAATTACGACGAAAGAAATGCAGCCTAAAGAAATTATTAAATAGTTTCACCAGATATAGGAAATCATAGAAATGGAGATGGCTGAAATGAACCATTTAAAACATGTAGAACTAGACACTGCTGAAGAACAAGAATAACAAAAACAATTGGATAGTTTATTCAGAGGGATAATGATCCCAAAGCATCAGTAACTATGTTACTGCCACGAAAAGATAAAAAAGAATCAGCCCAGCACCAACAGAAAATTTTAATTAAAACTAATTATAATAAAACATCAAAATAATTTTTTTATGTTTCAAAAATTAGATGTGAAAGCTAATATGCTGGACAGCACTGAAATAAAAAATCGGAATATAAGAGTTCAAGTAGCACTCCAAATATAAGCTGATAAATGGAGGTATTGATTCATATAAAATTTAAACAATAAAAAAAGGAACTACAGACGAAATAACCTCTTCAACGGCCTTTTCTCTCAGGCGTTCTGACAATTTCAATGCCTTGATCTCCGCCTGAGCCTCCCCTAGTTCTCGATCCTTGTCTGCAAAAAGCAAGTAAAAAAACGACACTCAACACAAAAGCCCCATAAACACAGGAATCGCCCTAAAAACACCTCCAAATCTCCCCAGAAACCACCGGATCAAATCGCATTCCCACCTCTAACTTCATTCTCCAACCGGTTGAGCTCAACCTTAACCGGATCCGACCCGTGCAACAGATTTATAAACTCATCCGCGTCCAAACTCGGCCTCACCGACGTCCGCCTCCTCGACGTCTTCCCTTCCTTAAACGATCCTGAAACCGTCAATGGTGGCGTCGGCACCGACGCTGGCGCCACCTCATTCCCCGCCGAACGGCTATTCCCTCCGCCGACGCCACTCCCGCTGCCACTCAACTCCGAAGCCGTTGTAGCTGATGAAACACCCTCCCCACCCCCTGCAAGATCGGCCATGACAGATCTGAGGCTCTCACATTCGAATGCCACAAAATCCCCAAATCCTCAGCTTCCCGGTTTCCAATTCTAGGGTTTCCCAGCACAATCTCTTCCTTCTCCAAGGATTTCCAGCTCTAGAGATAGAAAGGAGCCGTTGAGTCGTTAGTTGCTTCTCTCTCTTCTCTTCAACAGACAATATAAGAATAGGAAGCTTTCCAGAGAGAGAAGAGAAATGCTTTTATTTTTCTCAGTTTCTCTCTCTAAATTACTACTCTAATCTGCTTACGTCTCTCTAATCTAATGTTTCCAACTTTCCATCTTTTGTTTTTCATTCTTTGTATATAGAGAGAGAGAGAGGGCGCGAATGTGAAAGCGGATGTTTGATTAAAAAACTGGTTTGAAGCAGAGAAGCTTTGCTGTTAAGGAGAGAACACTGCGTGAGAGCTCTAGTGTATTAGTAGTTCCTTGCTATTTTTTTATTAAAAATTATTAAAGTATCAATAAATGTCCTCTATTACTGTAAGCAGTGTGCGTAGTGCTCAAACCCTATGCACATGATGGGAGGATGTGATGCGTAACACACACGAGTGTGCGTTGTCACACGTTTTCTTTTCTTCGTTTCGGGTCGGATCCTTGGCTATTTATCTGGACGACGGGTCGTCTAGTCTCGATGCTGGTCCAATCACAAACGAGTTCGGATCTGTTCCTCTCAGGGCGCGTCTCACAACGATCTCGCACCACGTATCAGCCGTGCATATGGAACATCTCCCATGAATTAAAAATTTACAAATAGGAGATGTTCAAGGTGCAGTTTTGTGAGGAGCAGATTCTATCTCATCACAATATGCCATATCATTCTGATAGCTGACGTGGCGTATTACGATTGACCCAGTATTACAAGTAAAACCGTAGAATCGTAGATGATTATTCGAGCAACATCTCTACCGTACTGAATTTTTATAAGTAGTGTTTGACTGTTTGGTAAATGGTTCGAACTTAAAATATAAATTACGATAAATATTCCAAATGGTCAAATTACAAAAATGCCACTGCCTTTAAAATGTGTACTCAATGAATGAAAGATTGTTTGGGACCATTGCATTTGTATGGATGATGATTCGTTTCGCCGAAAATCAGGATCGCCTGCTCCATCATTGTGCATCATTCGGCGGAGATGGGAGCTGATTGGGCGTTTAAAGTACTTTAGCTTTATTTTTAAATTATTTTCACCATAACAACTGTATGATATCTCAAAAAAAAGAAAGCTGTTGGCTTTTTCAAATTTCAACGTGATACGTCATATTAGTGTTTGGACAAATATCATTTTGATGATTGAAGAAACCCAACACAGAATCATTGTAGCAACATTTTTCTAAAAAATTATTTTCCAAATGCAATTAATTAATCGGTGTTTCCATGAAATGAAAAAACTCAATGAAGTGTATGGTGCCCAGAAGGCCAGAACCTTATGAATGTGCGCCATTTTATCAAAAATGGGATGTGCCCGAATCACTCTCCTTTTGCAATTGCTTATAGCATGGTTTTGAAAATTGGATTGGATCGGACGGTCGAATCAGTTGATTCAAGAATCAATCAGGCAACTAATTCTATTTCATCTAAAAAATTACTCCTAAACCAAAACCATTGATTTGGTCAGTAAGTCATTGACCCAAATGATCGAACTGCCGATCCATTAATCTAGATAACAGTTTTTTATTTTATTTATTTTTTATTTTTTAAGTTAGAATGGTCATCCATCCAAACCAGATGATTAGATCATTTGACCCAAGAACCAATCCCCAAATTGGTTCCATGTTTGGTCTCATTTTAAAACCTTGGCTTATATGGTCCCTTAACTTGCCAATTGTTGGTATGTTGTTTTTGTTTTTAATGACGTAACTAATTACAAAAAAAAAAGAGAAAAATGAAAAAATATATATCCACTAGTACATGGACTCCACCTATATAGGTTGAATTTGGAAAGAATACAAATGCAAATATGTACCGTGTAAATACATACAAAATAATGCAAAATATAAAATTTTGCACTCTACATATTTGTATTTACACTCCTTCCAAACTGAGCATAAAGTCAATAGGTTTGATCCTACATTTTCAATTCATTTTGGAGGGACGCCAGTGACCATCTTAACTACGGGGACATTAACAATTTATACCTTATTTTTTGAGTTTTTTAAAATGTCATTTTTAAAGGATAAATTAATTAAATAATAAAATATTTAACTGTTTAGTAATCAACCTCAACTTCAAATTCATCCATATAGGAATTAATAATGTTTTTTTTTTTTCGCAAAGGGGTTTTGTGATATGAGCTAAAGTTCCTTACCTGAGGGCCCGTTTGGTGTGTCTTTTGCATGGTCTTTTGGCTGTTTACAAGCCGGGAAGACCGAAAATCGGTCTATTTCTATTTGACAAACGGAAGATCTAACTGCCAAAAGACGGGAGGCCAAAAAGATGCGAGAAGCCTATTTTGGGCTGATTTTGGAAAGTTCCAAATGAAGCTTCTAGGGTCTTTTGCGTTTTAATCTCGCAAGAAAAGACGCGGAACAATGCACGGAAAGACATGCATCTACCAAACGGTCTTCGGGCTGCCCAGATCTTATGTCAAAAGCTCGATACGTCTTTTAACTGTCAAAACTACAAGAAGATCTTCTCAAAAAGACTTGTCAAACGGGCCCTGAATTACCTATAAGCTTTGTCTTTTGCTAAACAAAATAATTAAATGATGAAATATTAACGGGAATACATCCAACTACGACTTCACCTGTTTAATTAGGAGACAACAACCTCCTCGAAGAGGCATTCCCTAAGGTTATGTTTGGTTTGAAGAAAAAGGTAAAAAAAGAAAGGAAAGCAAGGGAAACATGTAACAAACTTTTCTAGGTTAATTTCTCTGTCTTTCTCTTTCTTTTCATACCTTTTCCTCTAAACCAAACACAGCCTAAAAGATAAAGCAATAAGCTTTGCACTTCAGCTGTTGCCAAATGGCCTTAAGAGTGGAAACATAATTATTAATATATCACAAAAATATATCATCAAGTTGAAATAATATTCCATTCATATTGGTAAGGGTTCCTTTAATCTTCATGGTTAGATCCAGCCAATGACTGGCCCTAGTCCCAAACATTCCAGACCGGTTTTATGGGCTCATTGACCTTGGATGTAAAGGTGCAAAAATTAATAAAACACTTTAGCTTTGTTTGTTCACATTCTAATTTTATTTGCACTTGTACAAATCTTACTTCTTTTTTTTTTTGCTCAATTTTACTTTATTCTTCTGTTAAGGCTCAGTTTGGAAAGAGTACATATGTATAGTATAAATACATAAAGAATAATACAAAATATAAGATTTTGCGCTCTACATATTTGCATTTGTACTCCTTCCAAACTCAGCCCAAATTTATTTTACTTTGTCTACGTGGCAAACAAATAAAACAAATTTGAACATAAAACAAAAGTAAACTAAAATTTGGACTTTGACTCATTTGCACTCCCATACAATAGTGCAAATAAACAAGGCCCAAGAGGATCATGATCCACCCCCAACTGTGATCAAATATTCTAAACTTCACATGAATCTAAACTGTGTTTGGCTGAAGGTGGAAATGTGGAATTAAGAAGGCCAACTGATATATAAATGAGTGTACCATACCAGCTAGACTCTAGTTGTGATATATATTGATAGGTAAGGCAACATACAAACAACTTGAAATCATGCTTCAAAGTGAAGATGCTGCCTGTGAAAGGGCCAAAGAAATAATAATAAAAAAAAAGTAATAACAAGCAAAATTACAAGGAGGAAAATGACAAGGTTTATATAAGTTGGTTTATTGTATTGAGCCTATGTATGGTTGGGGTCCTTGGGGACTATCTCCCAAAAGTATATACATCCTACAGTAAAGGCCTCTCTCTCTCTCTAACTATTAGAGTATATAGGGAAGTAATATTCTTCAAGAAAATGTCTTTATATGTTCTTGGAATTATATATGAAACCATGTGAAATGAATTGAAACAGTTAGTTATAGTACTCAAAAAAAAATTGAAAATGAAATATATACAAAATATAGCAGATAAACACAAATCTTATATCTTTGAAATTTGAAAAGAAACTTTTATATTATTTCAAGAATGAAGTTGGGCAAAATTTTCGGAACTCAATGGACTGGAGACAAAATCATGCACCCCAAGCTGCAATCTATTACAAATTCATAAGCGAACGCGCCAGTGGTCTGTACACATGGCCCCCTGTGGGACCCACACTTTATGCATATAGAACACTAGAATTTTGCTCGTGATAGCCGATAGGTTTCCCAGCCCGGTACGCATGATTTTGCCTTCAACCAATCCGGACTCAACATTTTCTTTTAAGATATTAATAATTCCCATATTTTGTAGGGAAGTTTTAGTATTGCCTCCCCTTACGAAACTGTAATGCATATGCTAATGATGCAAAACAATGAATGAATTGATGCGAATGCAAATTTTTTCATATGAAAGGATGCAAATCTGATTTGGCTTTGTGCTCATAAATTTATAGTATCTTGTTTGGTTGCAGTGGGCGTTGACACAAATCTGAAGGCTGGAATCAATCTCTTTTACATTGACCAACTTTGGGTGCAAAAACAGTTGAAAAACACAATTTGCTATATTTCATTTTTAGCAAAAAAACTCAGTTTTACCAAACGGCTGCAGAATTGAACCGAAATGCAAATTCACTTGGGTTTTACATTTGCACTGTTACAAAATGCAGCCTAATATCCTATGTAAGGCTTAGTATGGAAAAGAATAATGTTCATTCAATAAAACAAAGGGTTGACGATTGAGGACTTGAAATACACATGATGCATGTGCGACACATTGCTGCAGCAAAATTGCTCAGAATTTCAATACTTTTATGGAGCACGTTTACTGTGTTGTTCATTCTAAGCTTCAGCTAAGAGAAGCAGCATGGCAGATATTCTACACCATGAACAGATGCTACTTTTTAAGGCAGTGTAGAAAAATTCTACCATTAGTTACAATATACTACTTTACTTCGATCAAACACAATATGGGTTGAACTAGTAACAAATGGTTCAAAGGGTCATAATTTAATAACGAATGGCAGAATAGGATTTATATATGGATCCATTTTCATGGGATGCATGTTTGCCGATGTGAGTAGTTTTGTTCCAAAGGCTATGTTTGGTTGTAGTTTAATTTTATTTGAATTAGTACAAACGCATGAATGTAAATGTAGAAAATGCAAATTCTTGTTTAATTTTGTTTTTAGATTTTATTTTATTGCGTTTTATGTCCTAATTTATTTCATTTATACTTCAATCAAACAAAATAAGCTAAAATTTCAAACAAAAAATATGTCAAAATTTACACTAAAATCATTTGTACTGTTATGC